TCCTCTTAAGAAAGTGTTGTGGTTTAACCCAAATTGTAATGGGTATTGGAGTCTAAATTGAAGTGATCTGAAGAGATCAAAATTATGGATCGGAGGAAAAATTCGCCGCATTTTCGCTTGTCTGGTGCTAGCTGGACGCTCGAGCAAGACTGATAGAAAACAAAGAAATCGTGGACGATTTGGAGATATTGGAAGTTAAGTATAACAAGAATAAATTGGCGTTGATGTTGCTGTGTTCTCTACCACCATCATATGTGACTTTTAGAGATACTATTTTTATAGTCGGGATACTTTCACCGTGGAAGAGATCTATGATATTTTACTATCTAAAGAGAAAATGAGGCATCTTGTTGAATGATCTAGGAATCATGTTAAAGGCTTGGTTGTGCATGAGAGAAATTAATATAGGAATCTTAGCAGAAATATGATGGACAGATCGAAATCTAGAAATGCTGAGAAGACATGTCACTATAATAAGAAGAAGAGTCATATTAGAGCTGATTGCAATACCTTCAAGAACAGAAATAAAGTTGTTGGTGCTACTGAGAACCATGTGAGGAACGGATTCTTGACTCAGCTTTCACTTTTCATATGTGTACCAACAGGGACTGATTTTCAACTTGTGAAGGAGTTTCGAGAGGTGCGATACTATGGAAAACAACGTGCTTTGCAAAATTGTCAGAGTTTGTACAGTCAGAATTAGAATGTTCGATGGGGATATCAAGACATTTACAGATGTAAGACATGTTCCAGAACTGAAGCGAAATCTCATATCTTTGAGTGCACTTAACTCAAAGGGTTATAGTTACACTGATGAAGGTGGAGTTTTAAAGGTGAGTCGTGCTGCTCTTGTTGTCATGAAGGGACATAAAAGCTCTACTCAGTTTTACATTTTGCATGGTTCCACAGTAATTGGGGATGTAGCAGTTTCTACTTATTCTTTGACAGATAATGAAATTACAAAATTTTGGCATATGCAGCTCGAGCATATGAGTGAGAATGACTGGCAAAGCTGAGTAGAAGTGTATTTCTTGATGGGTAGAAGACCAGCAAAATAATTTTTTGTGAGCATTGTGTCTTTGGGAAATAGAAGATAGTCAGATTTACAAAAGGAAGACACAACACGAAGGGAATACTTGAATATATCAATTCAGATATTTGGGGACCATCCAAGGTACCATCAAAAGGAGGTCATTATTACTTGTTGACAGTGATTAATGATTTCTCAAAGAAAGTTTGGGTATTTTTCTTGAAGCAGAAGAGTGTTGTATTTGAGACCTTTAAGGAGTAGAAAACATTGGTTGAAAGTAGACTGAAAAGCAAGTAAAACGTTTACGCACAAATAATGGGTTAGAGTTTTGTTCACATGAATTTAATAGCTTCTACAGGGTTGAATACATCTTGAGATACTTGACAGTGCCTGAAACTCCTCAACAAAATAGTGTGGCGGAGCGGATAAATTGAACTTTGATGGAAAAGATTCGTTGTATACTTTCAAATTTTAGGTTGCCTAAGACATTTTAGGCTAAAGCTTCTACTAGAGCTTGTTTTCTGATTAATCGCTCACCCTCAAGTGTCATTAATAAAAAGATACCAGAAGAGGTATGGTCTGGTAAACCTTCTTGTTATTCTAATTTGAAAATTTTTGGGTGTCCTACTTATGCTCATGTGGATAATGGGAAGTTGAAGTCTAAATCTAGAAAGTGCATCTTTTTTGTATATAAATCAGGTGTGAAAGGGGTTTAAATTGTGGTGTCCTAAGAAAAGAAATGTGATTTTTAGTAGAGATGTAGTATTTGATGAACTTTCTATGGTTCATGATTCACCTTTTGGGGATTTTGATAAAACGGATGAGTAGAATCATTCAACTCAAGTGGAGTTGGAAATTGGTATAGATAAACAATCAGAGGTTACAAAATAGTTTACTACAGAACAATCCAGTTCGGGATTGACAGACGCAATATCTTGTCTACTTTGTCTACACCACCAGCACCACAGTATTCATAGCTAAGATAGACCTCTCATACAGCTTAGACCTCCACAGAAGTATGTAGAAGTAGATTTGGTAGTTTATGCATTGAGTGTGGCTGAAGACATTGATTCCACCGAGGAGCCTGCTATATATTTAGAGGTAGTTAGTTACAGTAATTCTAGCAGATGGATGATTGCTATGCAAGAAGAAATGGAGTCCTTGAGCAAAAATAACACTTGGAACTTGGTAAAATTACCTAGAGGTAAAAAGGTTGTTCGCTGCAAAGGGGTGTTCAAAATAAAAAAAGGCATATTAGGGATTGAAGATACTAGATATAAGGCTAGATTGGTGGCAAAGGGCTACAGTCAGATTCCAGGTGTTGACTTTACATATGTGTTCTCACCAGTTGTGAAGCATAGTTCTATCCGGGCTTTACTTTGAATGGTAGCTAAGAATGATTCGGAGTTTGAGTAAATGGATGTCAAGACAATATTCTTACATGGAGAACCTAAAGAGAGTATCTACATGCAACAACCAGAGGGGCTCACAGTCTCTGGAAAAGAAGACAGTGTGTGCTTGTTGAAGAGTCCTTGTATGGACTAAAGTAGTCACCGAGACAGTGGTATAACAGTTTTGATTCATTCATAACTACTCATGATTTCTTCAGATGTAATTATGATAGTTTTATGTACTTCAGAAAGGAAGATAGTGGATCGACTACATATTTGTTATTATATGTTGATGACATGCTCATAGTAGCCAAAGATAACGTAGAGGTCAGAAAAGTAGAGTTTCAACTCAGCAAGGAGTTTGATACGAAGGATTTGGGTGCAGTAAAGAAGATTCTTTGTATGGAAATTTTGAGGGATAGAAAAGTTGGCAGATTGTATTTGAATCAGAAGTGGTACATTGAGAAGGTGCTTGAAAGATTTAATATGGTAAATGTGAAGACTGTTGTACTCCCTTGGTAGCTTATTTTAAATTATCATCTAACTTATGTCCTCAGTCAGATGAAGACATTGATTACATGTCTCGGGTTCCTTATTCCAGTATAGTTGGTTCGCTTATGTATACTATGGTTTGTACAAGATTTGATTTGGCACATGCAGTTAGTACAGTTAGCAAATACATGGCAAAGCTTGGCAAGAAACATTGGAAAGCAGTTTAGTGGATCTTCAAATACTTAAGGGCTCTTCTAATGCTTGTTTGCAAGGAGATCACTTACAAGGAAAGTGGATTCAGATTATGCAGTGGATCTTGATAAAAGGAGATCACTTACAAGGTATGTGTTTAGCCTTGGAGGCTGTGCTATCAGCTGAAAGCTAATTTGCAAAATACAATAACTTTGTCTACAACAGAAGTAGAATACGTGGTCATTTACAGAGGCATGTAAGGAGGCTACATGGCTGAGAGGATTGATTGGTGAAATCAGTGAAGACTTGCAGGTGTCTACAGTATTCTGTGATAGTGTAATTTTCTTGACTAAGGATCAGATGTTTCACGAGAGGATTAAGCACATTGATGTGAGGTATCATTTTGTGCGTGATGTGAGTGCTCGTGGTGATATTGCAGTGAGCAAGGTTGATACCAAAAATAATCATGCAGATATGATGACAAAACCACTTTCCATTTTTAAGTTTGAGCTTTGCTTGAACTTAGTGGGTGTTTGTCATTGATTTAGTCTATTGTGACTTGTTTGGAATAGGTGAAGTGGTGTTTATTGATAGAGTTGTGACTTGAAATTTCATGTGTTGGAATTTAGTTCAAGGTGGAGATTTGTTGTGGTTTGACCCAAATTGTAGTGTGTATTGGAATTTAAATTAGAGTGATCTTGAAGAGATCAAAATTATAAACAGGAAGAAAAAGTCGTCGCTTTTTCGCTAGCTGGACGCTTGAACGAGCCTGGTAGAAACTGTCGCTCACCTATCGCCCGCCTGTCGCTCGAGCGACAAGCTTATCCGGCCCAGGCCCTTTTTCATTTTTTTACTCGATTTTGGACTCATATTCTTCCACAACTTGTTATTTATTATTCATATATATGTATGACATGACTTGTATAGAAAATAACAAGATTCATAAAATATCTTGAGAAATTTAGATTTCAATTGAGTGCATTGAAATCTTGTAAATACAATTGCTATTGATTATAGGGGATTTCTCCTCCTCGGCCCGTGATTTTTTTTTTCATATATTGAGTTTTCACGTAAATCTTTGTGTTTATTTTCTTTTTATTTATTTCATTATCGTCATTATCTTGTGATCCAAATTCATAACAGAAAGAATTGAACCAATGTTATCTGATTATCTGATAATGGATGTTGAAATTCTCTGCGTACATACGTGGGATCGAAACTCGCCGGAAAAGTCTTGGCAACATTTCTAAGAGGGAACCTCGCTTTCAGGGAGGGAAAGCACGCTCCTTTTGCCTATGGTGCCACATTTTTGGCTACATAAAAGCATGAAGTAAACTTGTTTATATATCGGTATTCATCTAGACTTGATTATAATGTTCAATATAAAATATTTCCATCATTAGTTTTTTCTTTCATCTTATCATTTCTGCAACTCTTTTTTATTTTTATTTTCAATTTCCTTGATGGACCAGGTTTGTCATTTGACATGGTTCAAGATGGTTTAGTAATTACTGGGAGATACCCAATTCTCCATTATGATCTAATGATATGTTTTCAGGGCATATCAGGGTTGATGTGTACATGATTTATTTCAACCTGGAGGTGGTTGTAGCTAACTTTAAAAACTTCACCCGAGGAATTTTATGGGCTGTAGCTAGCTAGTTTGAAATCATCCAATATTTGCTGATGATAATGCAAGCACTCATCTGTTTACAAGTTTTAAGCAAATTAAGCTATTTTTTCATCGTTAAATCTTTTGACTTGAAAATAAGTTGCATCTAAAAACAATTCCTGTAGAAGCAGAAGCTGAATTTTTATTAATTAATGCCATAAGCATTCGCTTTGCTTCTTTCCAAAGTGACCATTTTTAGGTAAAACAGTAGCATGAAATCTGGTTAGTGTGAATCTGCAGGAGCCATGGCATGGCCAGTACTCTCTGCTGGCATATTGGATGCAGGTGCATTCATGTGTGTATGGTGACTGAAGTGCATGGTGAATCCAGGACAACCAAAGGGATTGCCACAGTTCATTGGTTGGCAGTGGTAATTCGGTGGAGGGACCCATGGTCCTTCTCCATATCCTGGTGGACTGCCTCCATTATTACCCCCAGAACCGGAACCATATCCACCACCGAACCCATATCCTCCACCATTTCCACCGACTGGGACACCGAAACCTGGGGCACCAACACCTGGGATGCCAAAATTTGGTACACCACCAAGCCAGCCACCACCACCACCTCCTCCTCCTCCTCCGCTTCCACTGCTAATGCCCCCGTTATTGCCATTGCCACTCCCACTTCCATAACCACCAGCAGATCCAACTATGGGGGCACCACCAATTGTCGGGTTGCTTACAACACCTCCCCCTCCACCTCCACCTCCATTACTTAAAACATGACCGTTCCATGCATGGTCAGTATGAGTAGTGTCCTCCATGATGCTAACGACGCGGTCATGGTTGGTTCCAGCCTCATTAGGAAGAGTTCTGTGTGCAGAACACACAACCAAGCTTAGAAATGCAAGGAGTGCAACATGGGAGCATTTTAGTGCAGCCATTTCTTGATGTTATAATTAAGTGATTCTGGTGATGTTTGCACTGTGACTACGAAGCTTTATATAGTGATAGGCCTGCAACAAACTGCATGGTCTTATGTTGGACAAATTCATAGAACAAGGAAGTCGTTGAAGAGAAGTGCAAATGTGCAAAGAATTGGGATTACTTCACACAATCTGAATTGAATAATTATTCATCGAATTGAGGAACATGAAGTTCGTGTGAAAACCTCAGCATTTTGCTCTCTTTTCTGACTCAGCATGATTCTCTTAACTCCTAAATTATAGAACATACATGAGACTGAGAAGACACTATCATTTAGTTCAGAGCTAGGTAGTTAGTTGTCCCTTCGTCAATTCATAGAGAATATTGTCAATGTTTCCACCTCGATTCAACGAAGACAAAATTTTGTGTGGTTAGTTTAAAAATTAACCAGAAAATTTAACCATCGTACTCGTATGCCATGTTAGACCTCGTATTATTCGCCTTTCTATTGTCTTACTATTTTTGTAGGGATTCCAGTGTTTGTATTATTGTTATGCATTTTAGGGGAAAAAAATATATTTTCTTATGATAGGTAGCAAGGTACACGTTACTCGATTTTGATATTAATTGCATGTATCTAAAGAGTAAATTATTTTAAGCTTAACATTCAAAATTCAGCTGATAATACTTTGTGAATGGCTAATATTAACATTTGATCAAACCACGTCAAATTTGTGATTTCCTGCCCTCTCTTGATTTTGGTTTAGATTTTTGCTCCAAAACACTGTGTTTAACTTCAAGTTGAAGACCAATAAGTCATTGACAAAGTATTAAATGATTAATATACCCTTCAATTCACGCAAGAATACCAAAAATGTCATTTCTTTGACTTTTCAAGTTCTTTACCATTTGAAGTAACATCTATTATTTTTTAAAACTTCGTTGTATCACTTGTAAAGCAAACTCAAGAAACCAATAATCTTCGATTCGGTTTGACTGGGACCACGATGATCAATTAGCATAAAGTTGCGAATAAATTTATTGAAGAAGAGATGAAGCATTTCCAGAGATTTTCGGTAGCTTTATAAAATTTTTGAAAAATGAAAAATTTGGGTTACAAGGAGCAGACTGTAATCAGTTTACCATGATTTTATTTCACAATAAGTCAGCAATGCAACTCGGCTAAGCACAAATCACGATTTTCCAAGTATACCATTGTTCGGTAAAATTCCAGTCATACGAGATCATTAACAAATAATAACGTAAAAGGAGTACGGGTATTGTTCTCATGAAGATTAGATCGATGTTATGAAAACTGGACTGACTCAGCCGGTTCATCCGGTAAACCCCCATTAATACAAAAACTGATAAAAATCCAGTAAAATGACCGGTTCGACTCGAAACGGTTTTAACGAGTCTTTTGACTACCTTGCAAAAAGGAAAAAAATCAGTAGCATAGATAAAAATATCTGAAAATGGAGCTTTCCTCACTTGTCAAGTTATGTAAAGAGACCTACCATCCATTCATATGACATATACATGCAAAAGAAGCCGCTCGAAAAAAAAAAATTGAAAGAAGAAGTCGCCGGAAAAAATTGAAAGAAGAAGCTGGTGGGGAAAAAGTGATGCGTCGTGCCTCCTTCTGTTATAGCTTTTTTGGTTTATAATTGATGCTACCAAAAATCATACCTGTCGACTTTCGAACTTGACGACTGAGGATAAGCACGATCGAGGTCTTCCGGTACCTGAGACAAAGGTGTTAAAGTGTGTCATCGTCGCCCCTCCGATACTTAAGTCAAAAAGGGAATATGAAAAGAGTATATGCTGTAAATTGTGTGTAAAACATACCTTGGTAATAAATGAGAATGATGTATTTATAAATGTAGGTGGTGGACTCCTAGTAGGACTACAATGTGGAGATCCCTAGGAGTTCTAGTGTAATATGAAGTTGTTGTTTAGTTGATCTTGTGTTTCCTAGGTGATTGGGTTAGAATGGGACTCTGGCATAAAAGTCCTCTCAGAATGAGGAAACGTATCGATGGAAGGACTCTATCTCTCCTAAGTTAGATAAGCCCATACATGAGAGGGAGTTACAAGAAATCAAATAGAGCTCGAGGAAGACTATTGATGAAGGAAGCCCGACATGATGGAACCCGAGGAGATTAACATCTCTTTGAGCCCAACTGAGGGAAATTGTCCTCGGGGTAAATGTTCGAGCTCAACTGATATTGGCATCATCACTGGCCTCCGTGCATCTATGCCAGATCATTGCCTTCGAGATTCTGGGAAGGATGCACATGAACGGGTGATCGATCTTGAGAATTGTGGCTATGTTATTTCAATCGGGTCAAGCAGTCATGACAAAGGGCTGCACAGCCTTTGGACATGGGCTGTACAGCCTTGGAGAAGGAATGCACAGCCTTCTAACCTGGACTGAATAGCCATGGAAAAGGGCAGCTTAGCCTGTGAAATTGGGTTGTATAGCCATGCAAATGGGCTATTCAGCCTTTTAATGTGGACTGAACAGCCATGAAGAAGGGCTGCTCAGCATGGGAAACAATGGGCTACTCGAGCTATGAAATTGGGTTGAACAGCCATGCAAATGGGCTGCTCAGCCTTTTAATGTGGACGGAACAACCATGAAGAAGGGATTTTCATCATGTGAAACTGGGCTGTACAGCCATGCCAATAGGCTGCTGCTCAGCCTATGAAATTGGGTTGAAAAGCCATGCAAATGGGCTCCTCATCCTTTTAATGTAGACTGAATAGCCATGAATAAGGGCTGCTCAGCATGTGAAACTCGGCTGTACAGCCTAGGGTTTGTGCAAGTGTGACACGTGGTCTCGATGTTCAAGCCAATGATTACCCTGGAATGGTAGATGTTCGCCATGTGGCATGGTGGAGTGCTAGGATTAGGTTCCTCAGAGTCCTATAAATACCCTTCCACCCCACTTCATTTGGCATCTTCAATCCTCAAACACTATTCAGACCACTTCGGGTTTAGGCGTAAGGTAAGACCTCGTGCCCTGTAGATAATTTAAGTTTCTATTTTTTAAAAATGTTTGGTAGCATTAGCTCGTCAGGGTCAGGCTCCACACCCGAGGATGTTGGGCATTCTATAATTCCTTTAGCAGTCCCCATAGACATTAGGCATGTTCTGAATTACCCCAACCTCTAAGGCTGATATAAAGAGAATGAAGTAATAGCTATAGCTAGGGAGTTCGGGCTTATGTCGGGCTGTAATATTAGAATCCTCGGGCCCGAGGACAGTATAGTTAGTGCTTAGGACGGGGAGTTTGCGGTTTTCAGGGACTTATTGAAGGCTGGATTTAGATGGCCTCTTCATCCTTTCTTCATAGAGTTCTTGGTTGAGCACTCATGTGTCTAGGACAGCTCGTCCCTAATGCATGGAGGATGATTATGTATTTTTTCATAGCTTGTAGGTTCCTGTCCGTAACCCCAGGCTCGACCTCCTTAGGATGGTGTTCGAGTTGAAGTCATTACCGGGCTATAATTGCTTTGTCTACGTGTCAACCCGAGGTAGGTTTAAGATTCCTAAAATGCCGAGCTCCTTTAAGGGCGGAAGCAAAGATATTTTTTATTCATCCTCAAGATCCGGATCATCCTTTTGGTCCTCGATGGACTATCCCAAACAATCCTCGATTTAATGAGGGGCATGCCTATTTTGAAATTTTAGAAAGAGATAGGCAGAGTTTGGAAGATCTCGAGCCTCTATGTTATGATCTCGATGACTTGCTCAGGGATGACATCCTCGACCTTACAAATGTGAAAAGTTTGGAGGGTAGGGTCAAAATGTCTCGATCTTTATTTAATTATTGTATCTCAACCAGTCCTCGAGCTAATGCTTTGATTGTTTTTTTCCAGACAATATGACTTTTGATCCTCAGGCTATTCGACTGGCGATGAGCCAGAAATCAAAAGCTCCCCAATCCCGGGCTCCCGGACAGAAGATGGGGAAAAAGAGACCTCGAGCCCCTGAGGCCAGGACTTGGCCTGGGGAGTCTTCTCACCAGCAACCTTGGGCTCCCATCGTCAAGCCTACCCCATGCACCCCGGTCACTTTGGCTAAGGCACCACCATGGTGGTCGACCCTGACGATGATCTCGTCAAGGACATGCCTCAAGGTGAGGAGGAGAGTCGCACCCTACTGCCCGATGTGGTGGATAAGTTCAAATGCTCAAAGCTCGGGACGGGGTGAAGACATTTCAGTCTTTGGCATTGAAAGTAAGCATTTTAATTGTGCTCAATCTTTAATGAGTTAATTTTTTATTGCTGACTCATCCTCATGCTTGCAGGCTCTGAGCGTTGTTAGAGGTATGTCCTTGAAAGAGGAGGTCGACTGTAGGGAGTTGGCAAAACTCAAAATTGATCTCAAGATTCATACTCGTTGAGTTGCAGAGCTCGAGGTTGAACATAAGAAGAGCATAAAAACATCGCCGAGCTCGAGGATGGGCTGCATCAGGCAAGGGAAGAAGTTGGTGTGGCCAAGGACGAAGCAAAGGAGTCCAAGCTCAATCTTGAGCACAAGACAAGGGAGTTTGAATCAAAGCTTGCTAACACTCGAGCATCAGAGATCGAGGACTTGAAGAAGTCCGATGAACTCACTGCAATAAAGGGAGAATATGATCAAAGCTCCTACAACTATACGTTCAAGCAAGCCTGAGCTTATGTTAGGGCCAATCTTCTCGACGTCAAGCCTGATCAGCTCTAGGGTGTACCCGAGGTCATTGATCCGCTCAAGCTGTCAGCATCCGAAGGAACTCTGAACGATGAATAAGCTAATGCAGGGGACGAGGATGTAGTTGACATGCCCTCTAGCCATGATGTAGAATAGGATCCCTCCCCTACCCGATCATTAATTTTTGAACAATTCCATGTACATTGCTCGATCTGGGCCGAAATTTTTTGTTTTTGTTTTCTTCAAATATAATGATCGATCATGTGTTACTGCTCTATTTTGAAATTTTAATGTCCTGCACAGTATTTGCATTCGTTC